GAGTCCGTGGGTCTCTATGTAAGTCTATGGCTCTCTGTGTGAGTTTATGGGTCTCTGTGTGAGTCTATGGTTCTCTGTGTGAGTCCGTGGGTCTCTGTGTGAGTCTGTGGGTCGCTGTGTGGGTCCGTCGGTCTCTGTGTGAGTCCGTGGGTCTCTGTGTGAGTCCGTGGGTCTCTGTGTAAGTCTATGGCTCTCTGTGTGAATCCGTGGATCTCTTTGTGAGTCTGTGGGTCTCTGTGTGAGTCTATGGGTCTCTGTGTGAATCCGTGGGTCTCTATGTGAGTCCGTGGGTCTCTGTGTGAGTCTATGGATCTCTGTGTGAGTCCGTGGGTCTCTGTGTAAGTCTATGGCTCTCTGTGTGAGTCCGTGGGTCTCTGTGTGAGTCTATGGGTCTCTGTGTGAATCCGTGGGTCTCTTTGTGAGTCCGTGGGTCTCTGTGTGAGTCCGTGGGTCTATGTGTGAGTCCTTGGGTCTGTGTGAGTCTGTGGGTTTGTCTAAATCTGTGGGTCTCTGTGTGAGGCTGTGTGTCTCTACGTGAGTCTACGGGTTTCAGTGTGAGTCTACGGATCCTAAGTGCGAGCCTACAGGTCTCAGAGTGAGTCTACGGGCCTCAGTGTGAATCTATGGGTTTCAATGTGAGTCTACGGGTCTCTATGTGAGTCTATGTGTATCTGTGTGAGTCTACGGGTCTCTGCGTGAGTCTACGGGACTTAATACGAGTCTACGGGTTTCAGTGTGAGTCTATGGGTTTCAGTGTGAGTCTACGGGTCTCAGTGTTGTTGCTGCTGCAGCATGGATAAAATAAGCGGCACTTTACCGTAACGCCTCGATTTACGCTGGGGATAAGTTCCTGAGAAGCGACGGATAACGGGAAAGGGCGGAGGACGAGGCTTGTCAGCGACGCGAGTGTGGGCTTTGAGGCGACGCAAAATCTGGTGGCAGTGTTAATAAAGTGGCGACGCGTATATGAATGGAGCCTTGACTGCGTCATCATCATTACACTATTTAACCAGGCAAGGCACACTCAGATGTGCAGCCACAGTGCCGGCCTTCGTGGGTGCTACTGCTCGCTGACAGCACTTGCCCCAACAGTCTGTTGAGGCTATACGGGGAGGGAATTTGTCTTTGTGATGACTTCCGCTGGCAAGGCAGCCTCTCAATCTTTAATGGGATTCACAAGCAGTTGCCCCAAACCTATCTATAACGCGCTCCAATTAAATGCAATTTAATATAAATATTTTAAAAAACAATGTAGAAAACATGATTTTATAACTAACCCCTTGCCAATCCACCGCTACAAACAAAGTCATGCTGTCAACACCGTGGGGGGGGGGGGGGGCATACTTAACCATGCTGGTCGGTGCGCAAGTTGGTGGAGGGAGGAGAAGGTGGAGTCAGCTGGTGGTGGCCGTGGCTCGGAATCGAACTCGGGTGGCCGGGGGTTTGTTAGCGGAGTGTGCTAACCGTTTTACCACCGTTCCCCCCCCCCCACTACCCGCACACGTATATATTAAAAAAGCCAAATGTGCGCTTAACTTTGAATTAATTGTGATTTAATTCAATTTTACGGTGTAACCAAGGTGGCGGTGTTTAAATCCCCCATCCACAACCTCGCCTCAGCTCACGCACCAGGTCGCGTGCGGTGGGGTAAAGTGTGGGTACTCCGATGCGGCATTACTCTGGCTGCTCCGAGGACGTCTGGAAAGGGTGGAAGAGGAGGCCAAAGTTCCATCCGGAGGGACTCTTCCCAATCTAAACTAAAACGGCAAACTATTTTATTGTACCAGGTAAGGCCCCACTGAGCTACTGTGTAGCTCTTTTTCAGAAGCGACCTGGACATCACAAATGCCAGCTCAACGAGTAGCCAAATACTCTAAACGCGTGATGTTGATTCTAAATGTGGAGAGAAAAACCTAGGAGAAAAATCCACGCGGCCGCAGGGAGAGAGACACCGCAAACTCCAAATTTACAGCAGGTGTTAGGGTCTGGATCGAACCCACGATCTCATGCATACCAAGCGAGGGTGATAACATCTCGCCACCGTGATGATTATAAGAGACGCAAACTCCAAATATATAGCAGGGGCCAGGGTTGGGATCGGACCCACGACCTCATGCATACCAAGCGAGGGTGATAACATCTCGCCACCGCAGTAGTGGGGTAAAAGCGTGCACTTGCAGGGCTGTGCCTTTACCTTCATGATGAAGCGCAGGGTGCTTCGTGTACAGAGAGAGACGGAGACGGTGGCTCGTCTATCAACTTCCTGGGCAAGTGCAGTGGTGCTCAGTAGCGATCGAGCGATCGATCGAGCGAAGATGGAACATGGCGGTCACGCAGCCCGGCCGTATGTAGCGCGTCCCGACAGCCTTGTTCCAGAAGTCCGCGGCTCGAATCCGGCCGGCCGCCCTCATTAATACGGTGGTGTGTGGCTTGGAAATGTTACCGACTTCGAGTTTCTGCTGTCTCTCTCTCTCATCGCGTTGGCTAGGAGATGTTAACTCCCTCGCCTGGTATGAAGGAGGTTGTGGGTTCGATCCCGACCCTGCCACCTGGTGTATATTTGGAGTTTGCGTGTCTTTCTCTATCTCCCCGTGGTCACGTGACATTTTCTCCGGGTCCTCCAGGTTTTTCCCTGCACATTGAGAATCAACGTCACGCGTTCCGAGTCTTTGGCTGCTATAAATCACCACGTGATGATGATGATGATAAGGCCACTTCGTTGAGCTATCATTTGTGATAGCCAGGTCGCTATTAAAAAAAAGAGCAGTATGATTCGGTGGGCCTTACCTGGCAAAATAACAAAAACAATCGATGGTTGACATAGATGAGGCTTTTTTCGAGACGTATGGGCAGCTTGGAAGAGTAGACCAAACACCCTCGAGAGCAGCGGTCCCCAAACTTTTTGGCAATTTTTTTTCACGGACCGGGGGAGCGGCGGGGGAGGTTCATCATTGGGTCTTTCCCCCTTTTCAAAGAAGCTCTCCAGCGACGTTTGTTTTTTTACTCATTGTGGCTACTAGGGTTGTTAGCTTGTGGGCTTACTCATTGTGGCTACTAGGGTTTTATATATTTTATTATACTGGTAGGAACGAAGTTGTAAACTGAGTGTACCAGCTTGCAATAGATTAATGTGTCCGTCCGTCCGTCCATCCGTCCGCCCGTCCCCTTTCAATACTTTAACGAAGTGAAATCTCGTGCTGTTGGGTGTAAAATCAGCAATAGACAGCGCAGAGACTTGATATGTCTTAAACTGGTAGGAAAAAGGATTTCACCATTCCATTCCTCTACAGAGGTTAATTTGTCCGAAGAACCCTCAAAGATTTTGAGGGCAAAAAGGTGGGAAGACGCTCTTAATTTGCACAATTTTACATAACAATGTCATAAAATTGCGCAAAATTCCAATGTTCCTACCAGCCCACCCTGCAGGGACCTGTTTTTACTGGTAGGAACGAAGTTGTAAACTGAGTGTACCAGCCTGCAATAGATTAATGTGTCCGTCCGTTCGTCCGTCCGTCCCCTTTCAATACTTTAAAAGTGAAATCTCGTGCTGTTGGGTGTAAAATAAGCAATAGACAGCGCAGAGACTTGTCCTACCAACCCACCCTGCAGGGACCTGTTATTGTTTCCCTTCAACGTGACTTTACCGAAAGAACCAAGAATATGAGCTACTAGGGTTGTTAGCTTGTGGGCTTACCAACACTTTGACTGAGACAAGTGCCCTGTGCGGGAAAGAGGCGCGGACGGAAGTGTCAAATAATAAAATAATGGCGGCGGGCCACGTGCGGACTCACCGCTCTCGCCTCCTGCTGCGCAGCCTGGTTCCTAACAGGCCACGGACCAGTACCGGTCCGTGGCCCGGGTTGAGGACCCCTGCTCTCGAGTCCAGAGAGGGGCTACTCGAGCGCTCCCTCTCGGAGTGTTGGAGGCACCTTCTGACAGCAGTGGCCAGAGCGAGCAATTACAAACGTCTGGTCCAATCACAGCGGCTGTTGCTGGCCAGCCTATGACCAATGAAAGGCGCGCGTCTGTCGCCGCTCGTCATGGCGCAGGAGCGGCCGCTGTGGCTGCCTGCTCCCTGAGCGCGAGACCAACAATTACAACACAGACGATTATCAGGTAATATAAAGCTAGATTTTCAATGCACGCACACTTTGATTTGCACTCAAAAGCAGTAGATACATCATTTAGACAGAATGACGATGACGAGCTTGGTACAAGGGGACAAAAAATAGATGTCCTTTCAGGTCGATCGGAAGCAACTCCTGTCCAAGTAGTGTCCAGGCATTCCGAGTAGCGATGTTCAACCTTTACGTGTCCGTTTTGTTTTACCGCGCAAGTTCGAAGGCCCCGTTGGCGGCCTGCTTGCAACCAGGTGGTTTGAAACGAGAGAGCTTGCATTTGACCTCACCTTTTCTAGGAGCTCCCCCCACCCCTCGAGGGCAACCAGTGGCTCTCCCTGAATAGGGCTGCCTGGATGCCCAGACTGCATACCTGTCAACCCCTTATCAGTGTCAATTCAGAACTTACTGGTCACCCTGTGTCCTCATAAATCTCAACGTTCATCCTACAAAGCCATATTGAAATGGCCGTACGCCATATCGACCTGAAAACTCAATTTCCCTGTGTGGCAATATGGGGTAAACCGCATGGGTTGACAGCTATGAGACTGCAGCCTCAAAACTGTTGCAGCTCAATCGACAAAGTCTGCGACCATCTGGTCCGAGCTGCCTGCGTGTAAGGCTTTTGTTAACAGCTTCCCAGCTCTCCTCAATCCTGCCCCGACCACGTCCACCCCATTGCCACGGGGCTTTCTCTGCTCTCCACGCATTGAACGGTGGTTAAGAGAAGCTGCCATCGTGACCTCGGCTGTCCTCTCTCTGGTCTCACGTGATAACTCACCCAGCCACCCAGTCAGTCGCCCACTGTGACACTCATTCAGCCACCCGACCACTCAGCAACCGTGACCACACCACCTCTAACCACGCCCCCCCTCTCCCAAGGAACACAACCCAGGCCACCCCCGCCACCTCTTGCGTGCGGTCGCAACATCATCACGATGGGCGACGCGGAGCCCACTCCGTCGCCAACCGCGGGGGTCGCCACCGCCACCTCCATCGCCTCCATCGGCAGCTCCGGCAGCGCCGGCTCGGGGGGCGCGGCATCGACGGCGCCGCTGCACGTCAACGTGGGGGGTCTCCGGGAGCGCGTGGCACGCGGCAGCGCCCGCCGGTTCCCGCACTCGCGCCTGGGCAAGCTGGCGCGTTGCGAGAGCCACGAGCAGGCGCTGCGCCTCTGTGACGACTACTGTGATGCCGCGGACGAGTTCTACTTCGACCGCAACCCGGCGGCATTCCGCGGCGTCCTCAACCTGTACCGCACTGGACGCCTGCACCTCATCGAAGAGCTGTGCGTCTTCTCCTTCAGCCAGGAGCTCGAGTACTGGGGCGTGCAGGACTACTACATGGGCTCCTGCTGCAGGTGAGCAAGCAGGGACACGTACACAAGATCCTGCTGCAGGTGAGGACATGTACTATGTGGGCTCCTTCTGCAGGTGAGGACAAGTACTATGTGGACTCCTGCTGCAGGCGAGGACCGGTGCTACCCCTGCGCTGACCGTGAGTTTCGTGAGGGGGCTCTCTCTCCGTCCTCCCCGCACAGCTACAAGTACCACGAGCGCAAGGAGAACTGCGGGGACAGCGGGGAGTTCGACGAGGACGACGACGACGAGGAGGGATTCACTCACGACGACGACGACGATGGCGGAAGTGGCGACAGTGACGACGGCGGCAGCGGCGGGGCCAGGGGGGAGAGGGCCCCACCCAAGGGCTCCCCCGAGGAGGAGATGGCGTCTGTGGAGAGAGACATGGAGGAGTTCACGCGCAAGTGCTGCGGCCAGCGGAGGTGCGTGTGCAGGCGGGCTCTTCGGCGTACGCTCACCTGTATCGAGATGTTCTCACCTGTGTAGGCTCACCCGTACAGACTCGTATATATTGTTGCCTGTGAGCTCACCTGCATACACTCGCCTGCATAGGCACTCGTGTACAAACTCACCTGTGTAGTCTCATCTGTACGCTCACCCGCAGACCTGTATAGGCTCACGTGTACAAACTCACCTGTCTACTCTTGTACACATTCTAACCGTGTAAGCTCTCACCTGTATAGTCTCTGCCCACCTCCCCCCCACCCCCGCAGGCGCCTGCTGTGGCTGACCCTGGAGAACCCGGACTTCTCGGCCTTCGCGCGCGTCATCGCCGCCGTCTCCGTGCTGGCCGTGCTCACGTCCGTCGCGGCCATGTGCGTCAACAGCATGCCCGAGTTTCAGGCGGCTGCGCGCCGGCGCGGCGCCGCTGGCGCCACGGCGGCCGAGGAGCTAGAGGAGGAGAGGGGCGTGCTGGCGCAGGTGGAGCGCATGTGCATCGCGTGGTTCACCGCCGAGCTGGTGCTGCGGCTGGCGGCGGCGCCGCGGCTCGGCCGCTTCGTGCGCGAGCCCCTGAATGTCATCGACGCCGTCTCCGTGCTGCCCTACTACGCCACCGAGGCGGTGCGCGCGCTGCTCTCGAGCGGCGTGCGCATGCGCGACGTGGGGCGAGTCACGCAGTCGCTCAGGTGAGCCGCTGGGGCGGGGGGAGGGACGGAGAGCGAGCAGCTCGCTCGGGGACGATGTGACGGGCAGGCGAGTTGTTGGCTAGCGCGGGGGAGTGAGGGAGTGAGGAGCAGGTGAGCTGAAGTCGCTGCCAAATGTCGACCCTTCCTGTTGTCCACCTGTACGCCCACACACGCACCAACGCACTCTCACCTACTCTCACCCACTCACCCCCACACACCCACTCACCTCCTTACCCACCCACACACCCCACGCACCCACCCACACTCTTACCCCCACGCACCCACTCACTCTCACCCCCACGCACCCACCCACTCTCTCCCACCCAACCACTCTTACCCCCACGCACCAACCCACTCTCTCCCACCCAACCACTCTTACCCCCACGCACCCACTCTCACCCACCCAACCACTCTCAATCCCACAAACAAACCCACTCTCACCCACCCAACCACTCTCACCCCCACGCACCCACCCACTCTCTCCCACCCAACCACTCTTACCCCCACGCACCCACCCACTCTCACCCACCCAACCACTCTTACCCCCACACACCCACCCACTCTCACCCCCACGCACCCACCCACTCACCAACCCACTCTCACCCACCCAACCACTCTCACCCCCCCTCACCCACCCATGCACCCACCCACACCCACCCACAGGCTGCTGCGCGTCTTCCGCATCCTCAAGCTGGCGCGCCACTCGGCGGGCCTGCGCTCGCTGGGCGAGACACTGGCGCACAGCCACAGCGACATCGGCGTGCTGCTCCTCTTCCTCGCCACGGGCATCCTCATCTTTGCCTCGCTCGCCTACTACCTGGAGCGCGACGACGGCGAGAACATGGGCACCATCCCCCTCTGCTACTGGTGGGCGACCATCAGCATGACAACGGTGGGCTACGGCGACGCGGTGCCCACGACGCCCGCCGGCAAGGCGGTGAGCGTCTGCTGTGTCCTCTGCGGCATCCTGATCATGTCCATGCCCGTCACCATCATCTTCAACAAGTTCATCAAGTACTACCGCCGACAGAAGGCGCGCGAGGTCACCCTGCGCCGGCGGTTGGCCCGGAACGCTCTGCCGAGGGAACTCTTTGAGTCGCACCGCGACGACGATGACGACGATGACCTTGACCGCGACCGCGACCTCGGCGACGGCAGGACGGGGAAGGCCCGCAGGGTGGTCGTGGGGCTGGTCTCCGCGTCTGCGCTCGGGGTGGGCCTCGGAGTCGGCGCCGACCCGGGCCTCTGCGTGGGGCCACGCGAATCCTTCGCCTCGGGCTCGCGGGGCCGCAGGGGGCGCAGGCGACCGTGTCGCGCGTGGGCAGCGCTGGCCGAGCGCCTCCTGCCGTCGTCATCCGGCACTGGTGGCGGGGGGAGGCGGCAGAGCGGCGGGACGCCTGGGGGGACGCCCGCGTCCCCGGCTCACGGCCGCGGGGACCTCGAGCTGAGGCCGTTGGAGGCCGCCGTGGGCCTCGCGCAGGTGCGGGACATCGGGCCGGGCCGGAAGGTCTACCAGCCGGTGGAGTGAGAGGGCCGTGGGTCGCAGGTCGCGAATGAGCCCAACGTCTGTGGGAGGATGCTGCCCTCCCTCCCTACTGCCACCACCGCCACCACCACCACCTACACCGCCAACCACCACCACCACCACTCACAACCACCACCCTGCCGAATTACAGCTACAGCACTCACCTGGCCCAGACACCCCCTTAAGCTCCGGAATGCCAACAAACCTCATGCCAAGCTGCCGCTGCTGCCACTATCGCTCGTCGACGGTGGAGCCTCCACCCCAACCTCGACTACCATAGCCTCAGTAGCCTTGCCGACTTGGTGTCAGAGTCAACCCGTGGAAATTGACGATGATGATGATGATGGCAGCGATGTTGGATGCAAGGGTTGTGTTTGGACAGGAGGGGCCCAAGGGGGGCCACGACGAGGAGTTTTGATGTCGTCGTTTACGCCGTTGCCGTTCAACTTTGGCCGGGAAATCACCTGCAGGTCTCTCCCATTTGTAGGCGCAGATGCACCGACCGATGCGCTGCCACTCCTCCGCCGAATTGCGCCGGCGGTACAATAAGAAGAGGACTGTGACGGAATCGTTGACCTTGCTGATTATCAGGCACTCAAACGAAGGTCTCCGTGTCAAATCGTTACTCTCGATCCATGGGATTAGGCTCGATTTCCCGGGCCACGACACCGTATATGGTTAATGCCATGCCCACCTTCTTCCATATTTCCATATATTGGAGGGGGGGCAAATTCTTTCATCGGTGATTCCGTACGATTTTATTGATGCAGTACAAACGGACCGCGATGGATATCGCCGACCTTCGCTCAGCTTCTTCGGTGTACTGCGGGGAACACGGCAGGCCCGAAGCACAGCGTGACCGGTCGTCGTTGTTGTCATGCTCGTCAGCCATTTTCAACCTCTGACACTCACCCCCGCACAACCGATTAGCACGTTCGGCTACGTGCGGTGCGGCAGAAGTTCAACATGCACACATACGTATGTCAGTGCAGATATTGGCAGGTCACAAAACATTTAGGGGGTCCACGCGGCACGCAAGACTAACCGATGGGAATACTCGATCCAGGGATCGCTTTGGCAATAAAATCGACGCGGTGATTAAGCCCTCGATTACCCTCCAAATCTGGGACTCGAGACCGTAACATGGATGGGGCAAAGACGCGCCCGTCCAAGGGTGTGATGCCACGCACTATTCCCTTTCATTTATCTCGCTGACTGCGTTACAGGCCCTCCCATCCCCTGGCCACCCTCCCGTAAGCGTGGCTGAAAGACGCCGGGGTTGGCTCTCTCACGAAAAAATTGGCTCGGTTGTGAGTAACCTAAACGCTCGACATTCTCTCTGCAGCCAGTTGCTGCCCGCCCACACACGGCGAGAGAGATGAGCGGGCGCAACCAGCTGAGCGTCGATCCGCTCAGCGATTTGTGGTGACGCATTTCACCGCCACCACTGCAGAGGCACAGTAGTCACCCTCGAAAAACAGAGGGCAGAGGAGCGACGCTCACAACAACGAGCAGAGCGCCGGGCAGCTAAAATGCAGCAAGTTGCCACAGTAGGGGGTACAGCTGGTGGTGCATCTACTGGTCATCTCAGTCTGCCAACCCATGGCACCTGGGTCTGTCCCGTGACCTCCTGTCAGCGAGCCTTCGACACTTCACGTGGCCTCAGAGTGCACCTGGCCTGGCACAGGCGCCGTGGTGACATCACTGTGCCTTAGTGGCAAATGGCGAATAATGGTACAGGTACTACTTTACTTACGAATATTTCGACCTTTCAGAGATACGAACAAACCTGTCCGTATGTCCAGTTGCCCATTCAAACCAAGAGTCGTAAGTTCAACCGCCGCGCAATAAATGGCGGCGGTGGCATCTACATCTGCAGAACGTGAAGAACCAGTGGCATCTACATCTGCAGAATCTGAAAAACTAGTAGCATCTACAGGAGATTAGACAACTTTTAAAGCAATTCCCCATGTTTAGTGTACACGCCGTACAATGTGTTCAGAATCGACAGGAGTAAATTTAGGCTTACGAACCAGCTTCTGGAATCTAACTCATTTGTAATTAGAGGAGTCGCTGTATTGGTATTGGTGGGGGGGCGGGGCGGGTGGGAGTAGGTAGAGCTAGGGGTGGGGCTACCCTGTGAATGGGGGCGTGGCTAGACCACTCTGTAGCCACGCCCAGAGGAGTTGCCCAACTGCTCGCTCAGAAATGGACAAAGCAGTTGCAGGCGACGACGATGACGATCCGGGTTTATGATCACGAATCGGGGCATGATTGACTTCTCGCACGCGCGACAATAAATACGTGGACGACGTGGAAAGTAATGTGCGAGCTGCGTGCGTGCCATCGCGCGTACAGCGGCCGCTCCGCTCGCCTCGCTACGCAGCGAACGCGCCATTCCCGAACACGGGAAGTCCTCGTTTAACGCGCGAACAATCGACCCCGTAGATGCGGTTAAAGTGCCGTGTGAAGCAAAGAAGGCGTCGAGCGAAAACGATGAAGTTTGGCAAATGTACAATGTTACTACTGTGCACATCATGCGGTGAGATGGCGGATACTGGGGGTACACCGCCGTGTTACTGTATCATTCTGCATTACTGTATCATTGTAACCGCTCAGCCACGCAGCTCAAGAGAGTAGTTAATCATTTCTAGATTTCAAGCTTTCGTGACTGCAAGGATCCATAGTCTTTGGTTCTATTCGGTAAAGTCACGTAAAAGTATAAAACAACAAAAAAAAATTCACGACGTTTTGGCCACAACACAAGTGGCCTTCATCAGGTGAAGGGACCAGACTGTCTCGAGGACAGCGCTAGAGTGAACACTGCCACGCTCAGACCGCGACCTTTAAGCTTGTGTGAGAGGAATTAAGGTGCCTTGACAAAGGAATTAGCATAAAAATTATAATTCAATTGGCGGACTTAGCATGGTGAATGGTGTAGAGGGGGTGAACATGTGCAGACCGGCGAGGGGGGGGGGGGGAGTTTACATATTGATGGTGTGAAAAGGGAATTTAAGCAGCTGCGAAAGATTGGGATACCACTACTTGAAAATATATACTGTACCATTGAAAATTAGTTTAATGTTTGGTTCGATTTAGCACATGTTTCCAATGGTTTCTTAATTTTAAACCATCTTCTCGGTTGAAATTGTGTTTGTGTTTGTAAATCTGAATTGCCTCGTGAACAAATCTCTGATAAAAACCCGTGGGTTTGCAAAGAACCTTGGTATCGGAGAAAATTATATCGTGATCACCCACAACGTTGTAACAGTGATCAGCTACGGCAGAAGAATTCGTTCTGCCGTGTTTCAAATCTGATTTGTGCTCGCGAATTCGGTCAGAGACATGTCGTTTCGTCTCCCCAATATAGCAGTCACCACAGGTGCAGCTCAATTTGTAAACCCCGGGGTACTGTAAGTCAGGAATGACATCCTTCACGGATGGGATCAGGTCACGGATTTTGTGTACTGTATTGAACCGGACCAGGATCTTGTGTTTGTTTAGAATTTTGGAGATCTTTTTAGTAACGTCTGCTATATATGGCAGTGTGATGGTTTTGATCGGAGTATCAAGTGGTTGTTTCTGTATGAAGGGAGAAACAGCTTGGCGGATAGTACGGTCAGAGTATCCATTTCTTTTGAGGGCCAGATGCACATGTTTTAATTCACTGGTCAAGTGGTGTTGGTCCGAAATGCAATGAGCCCTGTGGTATAACGTTTTGATGACATAATTCTTTTGCGTTGGGTGGTGGTGGGAATCAGGTTTCAAGTAGGAATCTGTGTGGCCGAAACGTCGTGAATTTTTTATTTTTATTTTTTGTTGTTTTATACTTTTACGTGACTTTACCGAATATAACCAAAGAGTATAGTTCATCATTGACCGCTCAGAAACTGCACTATAATGGCGCGGGTTCCAAGTTAAAACGGTGTGCATTCTGATAGCGGTGCGCATCCCGCGTTACAACAGCGCGTGCCCCGCGTTATAACAGCACGTGCCTCGCGTTACAACAGCACGTGCCCCGTATTACAAAAGCGCGTGCCCCGTGTTACAACAGCACGTACCCCGTGTTATAACAGCACGTGCCCCGCGTTACAACAGCACATGCCCCGTGTTACAACAGCGTGTGCCCCGTGTTACAACAGCACGTACCCCATGTTATAACAGCACGTGCCCCGCGTTACAACAGCGCGTGCCCCGTGTTATAACGGCGCGTGCCTTGTGTTATGACAGCGCGTGCCCCGCGTTATGACAGCACGTGCCCGCGTTATAACAGCACGTGCCCCGTGTTACAACAGCACGTGCCCCATGTTATAACAGCACGTGCCCCGTGTTACAACAGCGTGTGCACCACGTTATAACAGCACGTGCCCCGTGTTATAACAGCACGTGCCCTGCGTTATAACAGCGCGTGCCCCGTGTTATAACAGCACGTGCCTTGCGTTATAACAGCTCGTGCCCCGTGTTATAACAGTACGTGCCCCACGTTATAACAGCACGTGCCCCACGTTATAACAGCACGTGACCCGTGTTATAACAGCACGTGCCCCGTGTTATAACAGCACGTGCCCCGTGTTATAACAGCACGTGCCCCGCGTTATAATAGCACGTGCCCCGTGTTATAACAGCCCGTGCCCCGTGTTATAACAGCACGTGCCCCGTGTTATAACAGCACGTGCCCCGCGTTATAACAGCACGTGCCCCGCGTTATAATAGCGCGTGCCCCGTGTTACAACAGCACGTGCCCCACGTTATAGCAGCACGTGCCCCGCGTTATAATAGCGTGTAAATATGACCACGCAACGCATCTGGCGTCCAAATCCTCGCGCCCTCGTCACGCGACCCTGCATGCAACCTCGACACTGCCGTGACAGCTCCCCTCGTTTCGAACATTGTTAGTAGGGAGAGACAAAGGCGGCTGGGGTGTGGTGCTGGCCACCCCCACCCAACCTCGCCCCGTGTTTGCAGCGTGTCCGGCCTTCGTAGCCCACAGGTGCTGCTCGCGAACAGCACTTGCTCATCGGCAGTGTGTGCGTGTTCAAAAGGCTACCCGGGGGATCTTTGTCTGTAGTGTGTGCGTGCGTCTTCGTACACAAGCGGGCCCGCTGTTGGTGCGGCGGGGCATTAGTGGGGGGCTGATGGGGGGAGCTCTGATTGCCTCGTGCATAATGCACGGAGACTCCCACGGGCGCAGCAGACGGCCGCACCACTTTAACGCTGCCAAAATCCGTGCACTCCGGCTACATTCATAATACATGGGCGCCGCGGTGGCTAGGTGATGTCAACTCCCTCGCCTGGTATACAGGAGGACGTGGGTTCGATCCCGACCCTGACGATGCCTGCTGCTGTATATTTGAAGTTTGTGGCGTCTCTCTCTCTCCGTGGTCACGTGGATTTTTCTCCAGGTCCTCCGGTTTTTCACCTCCGCATTTAGAATCAACGTCACGTGTGTTTAGATGATGAGCCTGATAAGCATCGTTGAGCTATCATTTGTGATACCCAGAGTCGCTTCTAAAGAAAAAGCGCTACACAGCTTAGTGGGGCTTTACCTAGTCCAATAAAAAAAGTTGAGTTTAGTTCGTAGTTTGAAAAATCTGAATAGTTGTTAAAACACGACGTAAATACCTTTTGGGAGGAGTTTAACACGTAGGCTTTCGCGACCAATATCCATAATATAGGGTAATGGATACCCATTGTCATTTATATGTATTCATTAACCCCCCCCCCCTCTTTGCACAAGAAGGGCTCACAAGTGACGTTATCACATCTACCCCCCTCTTTAAGGAACGGAACAGGAGGATTTCTCTACAAATCTCGCTGTTGCCTGATGAAGCTGGTTGTAATTACTGGCGAAACATCGTACTCAGATTGTAAGTGTTGTGGATTTGCTCTCTAACTAGTAACGAATTGGTATATTCTGTTTACGTGGCAAACCTTACTAATTGGCTGTGTCGGGTGGTGGCGGGTTGAACAACACATTTATATTTACGCGATCAAACCCAATATATATTATAAATATCCATAATATCAGTTTAACACGTAGGCTTTCGCAAACAATATCATCCAGAAGAGGTTTTCTGGGTGAGATCGCGTGATTATAAATGTGTCGTTCAACCCACAACCAATCAATTCTTCACGAACTGTGCACAGTAATTGTGGTGAACATGCAAACAAACATGCTCTGATAATATATGGCATTGTCTGTGAAAGTGATTGGCCTGCACCAGAGACATGAGCGTTCCGTATGGCTCAGTATCACCACCAGTGTCGGACCAGAGAAAGACGCCAAAAGGCACGCAGCGCGTGCTAGGACCCGGCTATCTGTGACCATACTTCACCACGTGTGCGATGCGTGCGGGTTGCACACCACTGACAACTCGGACTGTTAAAAAAAAAACAACACTGGTCCTTTCACGTAACCGGTAACCACGTGATTAACCGATAAGACGAAACAAAAACCGGCTTTTGCCGGACACACAAATGTCACGAGAGTTAAACCTGTGACACGTGCAGGCTCGATAGAGATGCGAGGGCAGCTGCCACACAACAGTGTT